CTCCCTCTCTCTCTCTCTCTCTCTCCCTCTCTCCCTCTCTCCCTCTCCCTCTCCCTCTCCCTCTCCCTCTCTCTTAAAAAAAAAATGGGAAATGGCTTGTTTCAGATTAGTAGCTCCAGAATAGAAGTCTGAGTCCTCCAATGCTATCCACAGAGTAAAATTGAAATATGTTGCAATTAAAAGATCCTTTTGGGAAACTACAGTCAAATTAAATTTACTTTTGTGTGTGTGTGTGTGTGTGTGTGTGTGTGTGGTGCTAGGGATTGAACCCAGGGCCTTATGTATGGGAGGCAGGTACTCTACCAACTGAGCTATGTCCCTAGCCACCTACAGTCAAATTAGAACTGACAGTTTTTATGAAAGATCTATGCTTATAACACCTAGCCTTTCCCCCAAAATTTTATGTGGATTCTCATATTCAAGTATTAACATTATTCATAGTAAAAGAACAGCCTTGAAGCTGCCCACCCCCAAACTGTATCTCAGTTTTCATGTAGGCGTGGTAGGTCATCTCCTGAGATGCTGGCCTTTTTGCAATCAGTTCTGTTCAAATATGTATTAGTAAGAGGGGACATGCACTGATAAGCATTATAGGCTTAATTAAGCTTCATGAAATCAGATTGGAGTGGCAAAGGGACGTCGGGATGTTTCCCTGCTGTCCTTGTGCAGAATCAAAGGTCACACGCTGGTGTGTAGGGGTTTTAGGGAGAACTTAGCAAGTGCAGCCCTGATAGATCTCATTCTTTTCCTCTTTCCTCCTCTTCCAGGTTTGCTCTTTGAAGAACAGGTTTCTGAGCTCTTAGAGGAATATCAGAAAATGAACAAATCTCAGGTGAATTGTTTCTTTTCTTTCTATTTAGCTGCTATGAGATTTCATGGCTTTTATAAGTGTTTTTGGTATGATATTTTATAAGTGTTTGTATATTAAGATGAACATTTTAAAAAGCCACTTCAGGGTCAGGTGAGTGAGTGGCCAGTGATGAACAGGCAAGGCTCTAGTAGATCTTTGTAGGTCATGATCCCACAGTCATGGAAGTTCAGCGTCATCCTAATCTGCATATGGTAGTCAGCAGAGACCAAACAGTTACTCCTGGGACAGGACTTCCTGGGCAGGACTTCCTGCTTTGAAGTGCTTAAAGGACTTCATGGAGTGGAGAACCCTGTAATAAACCTGTCTGTTGCCTGTGATTGTTCTTTGTTCTAAGTGGAGGGTAGAACTCAGATCATATTGGGGGCCAAAGCATCCCGGACTCAGTAGAGAGCGTTCTGAAGGTCCTCTCCCTGGGTTGCGTCCTCTTGCTCATTACACACTTGTGGGTGGACTAAACATGTGGTCAACTTGATCTTGTTTGGAAGCAGACTCTTACTGAATGGATGCCCTATCTGAGCTGAGTGGCCACCCAGGAGATTTGGGCTCTCCATTCCCATCTCTGAGTGCTGTTTTGGTCTTCCAGGGTGCAGTTTTCATTAGTGTGTTCAGCATCCTTCCCTCAGTCTGAGTCATTTGAATACCCTTATTTGTGAGGCTCCTGTTCATATCTTTTGCCCATTTTTCCTGACAGTGTGTATAAATTAATGGGAACTCTCTATGTAATCCTAAGAGGTGTGCTTTGTCATTTATATGTGGTTTGAATGTTCCCTCCAGAATGTGGGCTGAAATTTAATTGCCATTATAACAGTGTTAAGAGGTATTAGGAGGCCCTCACCAGACTGCAGAATCACTAGCTGAATAAATCTCTGTTCTTCACAGTTACCCAGTCCAGGGATTCTCACAGCAGGATACAGACTAAGACACACAGTACTAGAGAAAATCCGTGACTCTTTACTTTCTTAATGTTGACTTGATTAACAGAAATTCCTAATTTTAATGGGGTGTGGCTTTCTTTTCCTTTAGGAGTAGGTCTTTTTTGCATCCTGTTTATAAAGTAGCTTCCTATCCCAAGGTTCTAAAAGTATTTGTTTCTTCTGGAATCCTTATTGTTTTACCTTACAAATTAAAGCTGAAATTGTTGTCTCCTTCTTAGTGTCTGTGGAAGAATTTTCCATATTTCATCATTAAGTATATTGGTTGTTTAATCAGATTAAGGCAGTTTTTTTCTTAATTTGTTAAGGTTTTATCATGAATGGGTGTTCAATTTTATCTAGTGCTCCCTTGTAGATTATGTGCTTTTTCCTTTATTCTCTAAGCTTAATTTCATTGATCACATTTCAAATATTAACCCAATCTTGCATTCTTGGAATCAATCTAATTTGGTCATCATATTTCATGTATATGTTACACACACACACACACACACACACACACACACACACACATTTGGAGGGTATGGGAATTGAACCCAGAAGTGCTAAACTACTGAGCCACATCCTCAGCCCTTTTTTATTTTGAGACAGGATCTCACTAAGTTACCTAGGGTCTTGCTAAGTTTCTGAGGCTGGCCTTGAATTTGTGATTCTCCTGTGTCAGCCTCCCAAGTCGCTGGAATTACAGGGGTGGTGCACCACCATACCCAACTAGATACCATTTTTGAAAATATTTCTCCTTGTTTGTGCCTTGCCTTTTTATCTTATCAGTGTTAGCACAAAAGGACTGGGACGGATGCTGTTTATTCAGGGACAAGGTTTCATGCAGGAACAGGTCGACACCGGTGGACTCACTCTCCTGGAGGAAAATGAGCCACTGGACAAGGAAAGGGACTGGGCTCCTATACTGAGATATGACTGAACAAGCTTGTCAGTTTGGGACACTTAGGAATTTGGGGTCTGTTTTACTGGGTGAAATGGGAGGGAGTCTGGGGTCAGTGGTCAGTTTTGGGAGCTCAGGAAACAGGATTATGAGAATTTGAAAATTTGTTTTTACTGGGCAACATTTTTACTTAGAGAAGAATGGGGGGGCCTGGGGTCAGCATTCAGAGCTTCTTTCTTTCCCTTCAGGGTCCCTTTGTCACTGGGAAAGGATTTATTTGGGGAAGGATAAAGCTCTGGCTTCCTCTCTAGGGATTGTTCTGTAACTGGGAAAGAATCAGTGCCATCAATGTGCTGCTTTTCTTTGCATTCCCCTTTCCCAGACTATAATATTTTGGGGTTTGTCATTTTCCATATCTAACAATCAGTATTTTTTAAACAGCAAAAGATTTTCATTTTAATGGTATACAGTTTGATACATTGTTTTGATTATTGATAGTTAATACCCCCCTCCATCACTATATTTAAGAAATCTTTGCCAGAGCCAAGGCCATTGAATTTTCTCTCATGTTTTCTTCTAGCAGTTTTATGGTCTTTATTTTTGTGTTAAGATTTGTGCTCCCCAGACTTTTTCGCTTTTTAGAGACAGGTTTTTGCTAAGTTGTCCAGGCTGGCATTGAATTTGTGATCTTCCTGCCTCAGCCACCCAGGTGGCTGGGATTATAGGTGTGTGCCACCATTGCCTGGCCTTTTGCTTTTATTTTTAATCTTAAGGGTACAGGACTGAGTATTTAATTTTTTTCTGTGATGGCAGATACAGACTTTTCATAAATGCCTTTTTATCACTTTGAGGAAGTTCCCGTTTTTTTTTTTCCTTATACTATTTGCTGACAGTTTTTTGTTGTTGTTGTTGCTGTTTTTGTTTTTTTAATTAGGAATCAATGTTGGGTTTTGTCAGATTCTTTTTCTGCATTGAGAAAATAATATGGTGCTTTAGCTTGGATGTCGATCATCCAGGTGTTAAAGGCTTGGTCTCAACTCCAGAAGATTCCACAGTGTTTGGGAAGTTGTGGAATTTTCTGGAGGTAAGGCCTATGACAGGTCCCTGGGTTGTTGGGCACAGCCTTTCTTTGTTTTTAGGTCCAAACACATGTAGCATTATTACATCACATGCTGAATTGACCTCTATGACCCTCTTACACCTGGAGAGTTTCTCACATTGACTTCTCTTTAGGCTGATGAGAATATGTTACTGCAGCTTTCTTTTTTCTTTTCTTTTTTGGGCACCAGAGTTGAACTCAGGGGCACTGACTACTGAGCCACATCCCAAGCCCTATTTTGTATTTTATTTAGAGACAGGGTCTCCCTGAGTTGCCTAGTGCCTTGCTGTTGCTGAGGCTGGCTTTGAACTTGTGATCGTCCTGCCTCAGACTCCTGAACCGCTGGGGGTGTGTGGTGCTGGGGGTTGAACCCACGGACTTGTGCCTGGGAGGCAAAGCTATATCCCCTGCAGCTTTCTTTTGATTTGTGTTTTCCTTTTGTGTATTTCCCCAATCTTTTAAGTTTTTTTCTTTGTTTTCATATGTAAAGTGAGTTTCTTGGGGACAGTCTGTAGTTGGCACCTGTGTTTTTATTATTCTAATGATCCCCGTCCTTAACAGAAGCCTAACTTTTACAGTTAGTGTTATTGGCACTGTGGGTTTATAGTTAGCATCTTACAGTCTGTTTTACTCTCCATTTCCTTTTTTAAATTTATTCCTCATTGTCTTCAGTACCCTTAGGGTTTTCTTTTCTCACTCCCTTAGGCATTTTAGGGATACCTCTTTTTTTTATTTGGTAGTTGCTCCAGGGTGTACCATATACATATTTGATTCCTCACTTTCCCTTTAAGCAATACATATACTTTAATTTCCTCTTTCTTGCCTTTGTATTGTTGTCATGTCCTTAATTCCTAGAGTTTATTAGCATTATTATTATTTGCTTGTGTTGCTAAATATCTTCTTGAAAATCCAAAAATCGGAGGGGCATGTCTTTTATATTTACACATATGTGTAGTGAAAGGAAAGTGACCACAACACTTGGAGCAACCAAAACATCTTTATTGCAGCAGTGCAACAAAGAGAAAAGAAAGAAGGAAAGAGAGAGAGGGGGCGGGGGGGGGGGGGGGAAGCGCACGCAGGAGAGAGACAGAGAAAGCAAGAGAGATAGCAAGAGAGAGAGGGGCCCGGCAGGAGGGAGTTTTTATAGCCCAAATCTAATGGGGCCTCTGGGTCTCCAATTTGCCTTGTTGGCCCAAGGGGGGGTGGTTAAGTGTTCAGCCTTGAGCAGGGTTGAATGTTCAGACTTGAGGCAAACAGGAGATAAAGGACCAGATAGAGGGGGGTTTGAGTGCATGGGCTATCTTGCAGCCAACATCTGCTCAGCCTGCCCTGCAGACAACACAGTTCAGCCTGCTCTGCACCCAACATGTAGTCTTTTGGTTTGCTTCATCTGTTTGTGAAGATCTGAATTTTCCTCTGGCACCCTTTTCCTTCTGAATTCCTTCAACATTTCCTGTGTTACAGGTCTGGTGGTGACAGATGCTCTCGCTTTTGCTTTTATGTAAAAGTGTTTATTTTGTCTTCTTTTTTGGCAAGATATTTTTTGCTTGATACTGAATTCTAGGTCAGTGTTATATTTTTTCTCCTTCTTCTTCGTTAGTACTTTAAATGTCCTTCTCTAGTCTTGTGCAGTTTCCTGTTTCTGGAGGGAGGTCTGCTGTCGTTCCTGTCTTTAAAAAAAAGACAGGAAAGAGAAAGCAGCACTTTCTCTTCCCACGTCTAAGTTTTCCATCCCTGATTTTCAACAGTTTCATTGTGCTACACCTTAGAGTATTTTTAGTTGTATTTGTTCTCTTCAGGGTTCTTTGAACTTCTTGTACCTATGGATTTATAGTTTTGTTTAATTTGGAAAAGTTTTGGCTTTAATTTCTTTAAATACATTTTCTGTCCCCCCCCACCACCACCCCAACTTCTGGATCTCCAGTGACCCGTGTGGCCTGTCTGATGAGGTCCCACGGGGCTGTCGTGCTCTGTCATTTGATTTTCATTCTCGTTTTTCTTAGGTGCTTCTTTTTGTTTAAGTTTCTATTGCTGTGACTTTTGGTTTAGTTGATCTTTTTGATATCTGATTTTTTGATCCGTTTTTTGTTTCGATATTTGTGTGTGTGTGTCTAGAAATTTCGTGTGGGTCTCTTATTCCTCTCATTTTTCTCCTCCTACTCTTCATATTTCTCTCTGTATTGTTGACCGGGTGGTGGACACCAGCTAGATGTGGCTACTTACATTTTATTTAAACTAATTACAAGAAAAGAAAAATGTAAAATTAACGATTCACTTCCTCAGCCATGTTTCCCACATTCAAGTGCTCAGTCACCACCCATAGCTGGTGGCTTCCTGTAGGTGCCGGTGAAGGACATTTCCCCGTAGCAGACAGTCCTGCTGGACGTTACTGCAGCAGTATCATTTCTTGTAAAATGTGAAGCTTCTCCTGGGGCCTGTCATTGCTTTTGTGGTCAGCTGGCTTCTCACTGTCCTCAGCAGTCACACCTGTCTCCTAGGCAGGACACACCACTGACATATGGGAAGAAAACAGTAGATTGCTACAATGAACGATTAACTAGAAAAAGAGGCAAATCGGGCTTATTATTGTGTGCATGGGCAGGATGCGTACTGTTTACTTAAATATAAATAAATTGGGGCTGCTCAACATTTTATTGCTTGGGTGGCCAAGGATTTTGGAGTGTGCTAAGCTGTGCTGATGGGTCCAGATTGATGCAGGACAGATGAGGCTGGACACTCAGTAATTTTTAGGAGGCAGGCTTATTTAAGCCGCAGTGGTCCAGAGGGGCTAATACCTAAAAATCTCTGGCTCCCAGGTTTGGAAATTCTTTTAGATTTATACTCAGTGTGGTGACTGCATGATGGTGGGCGGGTACATCTGGTATTCTTAGGTCAGACAGAGGTTTCACAAGTTTTTATTAAGGAAGATAGAAACAGGAACTTTGCACAACAACAAGCTCTCTGACCTTTGCATCGCACCCTTTCCTGAGGCAGAGTCTATGACACCATCTAGTTGCAAACCTGGCTTTTATAGGACAGAGGAAGCTGCCAACCACCATGAGTTCTCTGCAGAAATCCTGCTGACATTCTTTGCCAACCTCTTGTTGGTAGGAGAGAGGCTTATGTGTTACAGTTATGGTGGGGGTGTCTTTGGTGTGGGCACCTAGTGGCTACATCAAGATTACTCTCTGTGTACCCTGAGGACCCTCATGGCTCTCAGCCTCTCCCAGCCTCGGCTGCTCTCCTTTATCCTGCTCTGTGCTTCAATCTGCTCTGTGTTTTTTGCTTCCATCTTTGTTCATAATTGTGCCACATTAGCAATGATGTCACATGCACTGAAACCCAGCCTGATTATGTAAAACAGGACCATATTTTCTGCTGCTATTTGACACTGATTATTTTGTATTGGTGTTCTACCTCTGAGCTATATATCTCGTACCTCCAAACCCCACTCCACACTTTATCTTGAGACATTCTTCTTGAGTTGCCCAGATTGGCCTTCAACTAGTGATCCTCCTGCCTCAGCCTTCCAAGTATCTGGGATTATAGGCATGTGCCACTGTGCCCAGCATCCACACTGGTAGTAAATGATTCTAGCATAGCTCTTGTAATTCCTTGGAACAAGTTAAATGTTCATACTTATGATATGACTCCTTGCTAAAATTTAAGCTCCTTAAAGGCAGGAGGGAAAAATGATTTATTTAACTTAATATTCTTGTGAAGCTAGAAGAGTTTCAGACACATGGTGGGATCTTAATTTTTGAGTTAATAAGTATACTGACTGGGTATTTCTATCATGCTATCTCTTTATTCCCCAATAAAGAGATAAACAGAATAAGATATGGAATTAGCAACCTACATAATGTTTCAAGGTAGACTCTCAAAGTAAATGTGCTAAGGATTATTTTCCACATATCTCTTTCATGTGACCCAATACTGATCACACCAGATTGACCAGGAAGGTGCCGTCCAGGGATCTGTGTCATTCGATGATGTGACTGTGAATTTCAGCCGGGACGAGTGGCTATGCCTGAGCAGTACTCAGAGGATCCTGTACCGGGATGTGACACTGGAGAACTACAGCCACCTGGTCTTCGTGGGTGAGTAGTTTTCCCCGTGCAATGCCCAAAAGTGTATATTTGTTCCTTTAGTTTGTGGCTCTGCCAAAATGTCAGAGCCCTTGGTGGGGCTTGGTGATATTTTTGTGTGTGTTTCTGGGGTCAAAGGTGGTCATGGCCAGAACCGTTGTGTCCTTACCTCCCCAGTGAAAGCTTCAAATAGGCACCTTTTTGTAGGACTTCCGAAGTTGCACCTTCCTGTCTTGCAGGGCCACCGTGTCCAGGCAGCCCTCAGACGTCCTACCTCTGTCTCATTACAGGATATTGCCTCACCAAACCAGACGTGATCCTCAGGTTGGAGCAAGGAGAAGATCCATGGACATTAGAGGGAGAGCATCCAGGCCAGGCTTATCCAAGTGAGTGTTACCAGGCAAGAAAAGAAACCAGTGGGAGTCAGTTCTAGGGTTGGAACCTTTGGACTGTGTCTCAGAAACTTCTAGATAAAGACCTCAGGCGTTTGGAAGTAAGTGAACCGCAGGCCACAATGGCCTGGTTAACCTGGGGCACTCTTCCATCTGCCACTCGTAAATATAGACGCTTTCCCTTGGTGCATAACTTTTAGGGGCATTAACTATTCTGACACCTAGAATCTAAACCCCACCTGCCGCATCTGACACCTTCTTTCTTAGCTTCTCTAGAATTCATTTTCCCTCCATTTTCATGAATGCTTTTCTATGTGATTCCCACCTCCAGGCATTAACTAATTAAAGCATTCATTCTGCAGATATTCATTGAAGACCCACTATGTGCCCCTCACATTTTTGGCATTGGGGACATGGTGGTGAGTACAGTATCCCTGAACTTGTCGACCACACAAGCTAGCAGGAGGACATGACTAAACAGATGTATGTGTTGAGCAGCGACAAGACAATGAAGGCTCTTGAAGCAATGACAGGAGACTGTGGCTGGAGAATGCCATTACAGAGACCAGCAGTTGAGCAGACAGTTGGGGGAAGTCAGGAAGCAAGTCCCCAGACTCTGGGGGCTGCAGGCAGAGGGAACAGCTGGCCCCAGGCTCTGGGGTGAGAGTGTGCTTGATGTGTGTGAATGCAGCAGGGAGACAGCACGTGTGTGGCAGGGAAGCACCAGAGAGCAGTGGTGGGGGTAACAGAGAGGTGGCCAAAAAGGCCCAGGTGCAGCACCATAGTCAGAACACCCAAACCAAAGACAAGTCAGACACCTTGAAGGTGCCAGAGAAAACCAGCACTTTACAGGCAGGAAAAGAATGGTTTGAATGGCTGTAGATTTTTCATCAGAAGCCATAGACAGAGGACAATGAAATAACATCTTTATATGCAAAACAAAAAGAACCATCAACCCAGGATCTAGATCCAGTGAAATATATTTCAAGAATGATGGAAATGAAGGAAAACTAAGAAAAATTCTCCCTAGTCATTCTAAAAATCCTAAAATTTCAGGATGAAGGTAATTGATACTAGAGGGAAACCTGAAATGAAGGAAAAGCAACAGTAATGATAAATAGCTGTGTAAATATAAATGGCAGTTGTTCTTATAAGTTCTTTAGAATATTTATGGCTGTTGGGCTGGGGATGTGGCTTAGTGGTAGAGTGCTTGCCTAGTATGTGCCAGGTCCTGGATTCAATCCCTAGCTACACACACACAAAAAAAAAAAAAAAAAAAAAAAAGGAAAGGAAAGGAAAGTTTAGGACTTGACAATGAAAACCATATCACTGTGCAATGAGTTCGTCAATGTCTACGTCTGCAGAGGTGATGTATCTGGCCACAACAGAGTGGTGTACACAGGATCTGTATGTTGTAAGGTCTCTGCACTTTACTTGCTGTGGTGAAATGTTAACTCAGAGTAGACTAAGTGGTTGGGTGTGTGTTGTCATCCCTACAATAGCCTTTTAATAAATACAAAGAAATGATAGCCCAAGCCAATAGATCAATTAAAATGGAACACTAAGAAATGTTCAGTAAACCCAGCAGAAACAGGAGCTCAGGATGGCTTTTACATTTTAAAAAGTTTATAGTAGAGGAGGTGGGACAGAAACCCTGTGTTGCCCATGAACTTTGAAGTGTTTGGCATGTGGTCCCCTGGTCTGTGTCATTTTTATTTACATACGAGTGTCAGAATCACAAATAGAACATTAGCACATACAGTTAGTAGCAAATTAAATGATAATGTGCTATGTATTAAAATATTCTGGAAGAAAAAATTTCTCTGTGGCTGCTCAAAAAGCATTAAAATAAAATTTAACTATTTTTCCCCCTTTTTAAAAATTAGGGATTGAACCCAGGGGTGCTTAACCACTGAGACACATTCTCACATCCCCACATCCCCAGCCCTTTTATTTTTACTTATTTTTCATTTAGCTTTGAATTTGTGATCCTCCTGCCTCAGCCTCCTGAGTCTCTGGGATTAGGCTTGTGCCACTGTGACCAACTTAACATCCTTTTTTAATTGAAAAAAAAAAACAGTAAAATTGGGCTAGATGAAAAAAAAAATGTCGATCCAAACTCATTAATACCTAATGAGGAATTATAGACTTATTAAATCATAGCAATGAAGATGTCTCTGATAACTACCATTATTTAATATTATTTTGAATGAATTAGAAAATAAGCCCATAAAGCAAGTTATTGGCATAAAAATTTAAAAGGGAGACACAAAATTGTTACCATGTGTATGCTCCACCTGGATGAAAAGCATCCAGTCAGAAGATAAGAAAAAAGAAATGATTTTATATAAAATAGCAACAAAAAGAGGGGAAAAAAGGCTAGGAACAAATGTATTAAGAAATTATATATATATAATTATTGTTACAGATATGAATGTATAAAGACATATATAAATATTAAAATACTACTTGTGAATATAATAGACTCCAATTATGTTGTATTCTTGGCTAGGAAGCCACTCGGGAAGGTAGGCAGACTTGGGTACTAAAGATGTCAGTTCTCTTAGGGTAATCTACATGCACACCAGTAACTCACCAGACTTGTTGATAGGTGCTCAGGGAACCAAAGTCATCCAGTGCCCTGTGAAGGCAGTTAGTGGGTGATCAGCACTAGAAAGAGGGAATTCTTTGTTGTTGTTGTTGTTTTTTAATATCAGGGGTTGAATCCAGGGTCATTGGCTCAACCATGGAACCACATCCCCAGCCTGTTTTTTAATTCTTAATTTTGAGACAGGATCTTGCTAAGTTGCTGAGCCTAGGGAAAGTCAATAACAGGAGCATGGATGGATCAGTCTGAGCTCTGGGGTCCTGGCCTGGCTTTGAACTTGCCATCCTCCTGCCTTGGCCTCACAAGCTGCTGGAATGACAGGCATGTGCCACTGCATATGGCATTCTTCCTGGGTTGTTTTGTTTTGTTTCTATCTCTTTAAGTTTGAGCTGTATGAATGTATTATTTTAATTTTTTTAAAAAGTAAAGGAGGAGTTCAGCTGTGTTACATGATACGGAGAGATTAGGATGAAAACTGAGAATTAAATGCTGAATGTGGTGTACTGTTCTTAAGAGAAGTCCCTAAGGGATGGTTGGTGAAATCTTGCTGTGTGTGAGTTCATGCAAGACTAGGATCTCCACTCCCAGCAAAACAGTAAACCAGACCCTCTGTAGGGCCTTGTCAGTGCAATAGGACTAGAAACTTAGTAAATTATGATAGCACGTGGCTGGACTGTTTAAAATGTAAGGGAAATCTGTAATGCCCAAGAGAAAACAGAAATCTAGCAGTGAGATGAAGCCAGAGAAGTGCTTACTTAGCAGAAAATGGATATGGATATGCCATCGAGGTGTCGGAAGGCATGTGCAGGTTCTCATCATCTGGGGCCCAGGTCAGCGAGTCTTGGAGATGAGGCTAGGGCACCAGAGCTTGGACTGATCCATCCGTGCTCCTGTTATGGCTTTCCCTGGCCTCCAGCAGCTGAGAACACATGTTCTCTCAAGGAATGGATCTCTCTTCAGCCCCCAGGACTCCCAAGTGAAAGGTACCAGAAGGAAGCTCACAACAGAAAGCTAGTGGGCCCCGAGGAAGAAAGAAGTCATTTGTGAGAACCAGTAGAATGCAGAGAATCAAAATGCGAAGCACTGCAGATTTTAGAATTATTAGATATGAAATATTAAAATTTGTAAAGAAGAACAAAGTCCAAAATAACCAAAGCATTTCTGAAGGCTCAGAAGAACTAGGCCCCCTGGGGGTAGCCATACCCCTCTCACTTGCCCAACCTGTTCCTCTCAGACAAAAGCAATGGTCATAACTATAAATACTGGGGAATATATCTGTGACCTTGAAGCAAGAAAGGATTTCCCAAACAGCAGGCCAAAAAGCAGTTGTGTGTGTGTGTGTGTGTGTTTTACTTTTCATGCAGTTAAGTATTTTATACATTTAAATAGTGCAAAAAAATTTAGACACATTTTCAAGCAGTCTTGATCACATGATCACTCCTCTGGGAAGAGGTCTTCTGCTGTCTCTTTAGAACATTTTCCCAGGGCCTCACCTGTCCCTGAGCTTTCAGCTTTCTGCTTTACCAGGTGCTTTGAGAACTGCCTCCTTTACCTCCTGGTCTCATCTGTACTTTTTTCTCAGTTTTATCTGAGCTGTTTCAGTCCTTCATCATCAAAATGGCAAAGACTAGCCTTCACATCATCTCCATGTTGTCTTTTCACATTCCTTATTTCCACATAATGAGACTCCACCCTTTTATCTCCTGCTCTGTCTTGACAACTATGAAAATCATCTGGCCATCATACTGATTTCTGTAGTTCCTCATATGTTTTAATTTTCCTTTGAAAATTCTTCTGTAGCTACTATTTTTATTTTCTGGTGACCTTACTCAAAACCAGAACCTATTCTCTTGTGCTTTGATCATTTAGTTCCTAACTGTAAGCACAATTGATCCTCTGTATCCACAGGTCCCATTGGATACAGATTGAACCAACTGTGGAGCAAAAATATGTGAGCTAGGCATAGTGTCGCATGCCTGTAATCCCAGGGGCTCAGGAGGCTGAGGCAGGAGGATCTCGAGTTCAAAGCCAGCCTCAGCAAAAAGTGAGGCACTAAGCAACTCAGTGAGACCCTGTCTCTAAATAAAATACAAAATAGGGCTGGGGAATGTGGCTGAGTACCCCTGAGTTCAATGCCCGGTACCCCTGCCATGAAAAAAATGTGTTTGTACTGAACATACATAGACATTTTTGTTTAATATTCCCTAAACAATATAGTATAACAACTATTTATGTAGTATGTGCATTGTGTTAGTTACTATAAGAAATCTAGAGATGGTTTAAGAAATCTAGAGATGGAGGATGTGTGTAGGTTATGTCAAACACTATGCCATGTTACATGAGGGACTTGAGCATCAGATTCTGGCATGTGCCAGGAGTCCTGGAACTAACCCCTCTCTAATATTGAGGGACAACTATATATATTAAGTGCAAATCAATCCATTTTGTGTTGTCATTGGGCTACTATAAACCTAGTGTTGCCCTCTTTAAAGACACCTCTTGTTTTTTTTTTTAGGTACTGGAGACTTAACCCAAGGACATTTAACCACAGAGCCACCTCCCCAGCCCTTTTTTATTTTTTGACAAGGTCTTGCTAAGTTGCTGAGGCTGGTTTTGAACTTTCAATTCTCCTGTCTCAGCCTCCCAAGTTGCTGGGATTACAGGTGTGCACCACCATGCCCAGTTCAAGACACCTCCTCGTAACACAAACACCACACCAGTCTGTGTTCATTTTGTTGTTGTTGTTACTGCTCAAAAACTTATAAGTTCCATATGACCTGACCTCCTAAGTATTACTAATTTTTTTAAAGAAATATTTTTTTTTTTAGTTTTAGGTGGACACAATATCTTTATTTTTTATTTTTATGTGGTGTTGAGGATGGAACCCAGAGCCCCGCGCATGCCAGGTGAGCGCGCTACCACTTAAGCCACATCCCCAGCCCAGTATTACTAATTATTACAACATCCTCGCCTCTTCTTCTTGAGGTTTGCCAGTCTGGATCTGTGAGAAAGGGCTCATACTGAGCCTGGCATGTGGTTGATGTTCCAGGTGTTATTTTACACATGACTTGTTTGTGCTAAAGTTTTTACCTTTTTTATTTATTTGGTTTTTTTTTTTTTTTTTTTTTTTCCAAGGATTGAAACCAGGGTGCTTAACCACTGAGCCACATCCCCAGCCCTTTTTTGTATTCTATTTAGAGACAGGGTCTTGCTGAATCACTTAGGGCCTCATTAAGTTGCTGAGACTGGCTTAGAACTCGTGATCCTCCTGCCCCCACTGGGATTACAGGTGTGCGTCACTGCACCCAGCTTTACCTTTGTTTTGAAGTGCTTCTTAATTACTCTGGTCAACGTTAATCTCTGGGCTGGGGTTGTGTGGCTCAGCAGTAGAGCGCTCGCCTAGCATGTGCGAGGCCCTGGGTTTGATCCTTAGCACCACATAAAAATAAATAAATAGAATAAAGTTGTTGTGTCCAACTACAACTAAAAAAATTTTTTTAAAAATTAATCTCCCCTTCATAAAGTCCCCCCCCCCTTTTTTTTTTGGTTACTGAGCTTCAGGAGACTCAGACTTAATCATATCCCATGACATCCGTATGACATCCATATGTTTATTACCTGAGGCTTTAATCACCATTTGAAGGGTCTCCTTTTATTATTCTTTTTATGTGTAATATATAATTGATATGTTCTTCTGTTGCATTAATAGATATGTTTATGTAGAAAGCATTTCTTGAGTACATAGGCCTACATCACATTCCCATAGATTCCAAGTCATAAAAATATAGGTTGATATCATCCATAACAGTATACCCTAGGTTTTGAATAAAAGTTTCCAGTAACCCTATTGCACATTGCTTGTTGAGGACCACTGGCCAGGTGTCTACTCAGAGCCATTCAAAGGCAACTAGAGAGAGCACAGTAACACCTGCTAGGAGCATATGTTATGATCCTGACAAGTAAACAAATGGTATGAAATATTTTGAAGTTTACTGTTTATCAAGTGCTACTGGGATAAAGTTTATACTTTCCAAAGTTGTGTTAATGAAAAGTGTACATAGTGACTGCTTCCAATTTTTTAAGAAAATGCAGGCTAAGAGGCCTGATTTTAAAAAGGTGAGAGAGAGAGACGGAAATGCATTTTCTGGAGGGTATGTAAGTTTTAGTGGAGCAAAAGCCAGAACAGTAAGCCCTGGGGGTAAAATTATGTGTCAGACTTGTGACTTGTGTTTGGGAGTGATTGATTATTTAGGAGGTATTGATTGTGGATTTTTGTAAGGGTACCTTGCTTACATAAATGTATTCATCTGTTGGCACCTGGACAGCAGGCTCTATGGGTATGTCTTACCCCTCAGCTAAGCCGCCCTGAGGTCCTTCTCCAGGACGCCCTTCTCACTGCACCTCTTGTGCTTATCCTTTTTTGTGGGTTTCTCGGATGTGCTCAGCCCTCAGCTCACTATTTCATTTCCCCTTCTCTTTTCTGCTGTGCAGGTCATATTTTTTCAAATTGCAAATATATGTGTATTCATTGCTAGTTTTACTCGTCCACTTCTACTCTAGCAGGTGTGTCTTATATTTTTCTAAACCAAGGAGAAATGTAAGCCATGGGATTTCATCCCAGGAGCCTGGGCCTGAAAATAGGGATTCAGTGATATAACAAGTCACTATTGTGGATATGTGTTAATGTTTTTAATGTACACTTAATTTTTCTCATTTCTAGAAGCCCAGAAGCTAAGTGATCTGGTAAAGAGAAGCCAGGAAAACCCAGATGAACACTTGTGCTGTGCGTCCCTCCTACACAACAACACACTGAGTAAGAAGAGAGAGAACATTTCTGGAAACACACTTAATCTGGACACAAACCCTGTTTCTTCAGGAAAAACACCCTGTGAAAATGACTCACGTGGAGTGAGTGAGAAATGTATTTCAGAATCAAGTGTTACTGATAAAAAGGATTCAAGTAGGAACTCCAGTGCACTCACTGAACATGGGAAGTTGCCTCTTGACTGTGAGCAAGAAAACAGTCAGACTGAGCAGAAGTCTGATGCGTGTAACCACGGTGAGGAATCTCTGGGTGGTAATGAGGGTCTTACTGAGCAACAGGAAGTTCAAGCTATGGGACCACCTTTGGAAGATAATGATGGTGGAGAAGCCGCCCCTGAACAGGCAGCCACCACCTCACCCCAGACGGCAGAGGCAGGAGAGAAGCCCTGTGACCACGAGGAACCCACAGGAAGTACCAGTGCCATGTCAGTCCCTGACATCCCTCAAGAATGTCAGATGAGGATAGATTGCTCTGAAGTTAATGGGTGTGAGAAATCAGTGGTTTGTGAGGACCAGCAAGTTAACATGGAGGAGAAAACCCAGGAAGCCAGTGAAAATGAGGGTGCCAGCAAGGAGCCCCATCTCACTCAAGCTCCTGGAACTTGCACAGGGGAGAACACCTTTGAATGCAGTCATTGCAAGAAATCTTTTCGCCAGGAGTCCCAACTTACTAACCATCAGAGGACCCATACACAAGAGAAACCTCGTAAAAGTAGTAAACGTGGGAAAACCTTCCAGAAATCACAGCTCACTGACTCGAAGAGAACTAACCGAAGACAGAAACGCCGTGAACATAAGGCACGTGGAAAAGCCCCTGTGAAGTCCCCTCTCGGGGACCAGCAGAGGACACAGCCAGGAAAGAAGCTGTATGTATGTGATGACTGTGGGAAACCTTTCCGCTATCACTCAGCCCTCAAAGTCCATCAGCGGATCCATACGGGAGAGAAGCCCTATAAGTGCCATGAGTGTGGGAAATCCTTCTATGCCAAGTCCAACTTCACTCATCATCAAAGAATCCATACAGGAGAGAAGCCCTTTGAATGTCAGGAATGTGGGAAGTCCTTCTCTGTGAAGTCAAACCTCACCAAACACCAGAAGACACACACAGGGGAGAAGCCTTTCAAGTGTAGCGAATGTGAGAAAACCTTCTTCCAGAAGTCACAATTTGCTGACCATCAGAGAACACACACAGGGGAAAAACCCTATACATGTACTGAGTGTGGGAAATCTTTTTACTATAAGTCAGCCCTACATGTCCATCAGGGGAAGCACAGAGAAGAGAAGCCTTACAAATGTACTGAGTGTGAGAAATCCTTCTGCTATAAGTCAGCCCTGATTATCCATCAGGTAACTCACACAGGGAAGAAACCCTACGACTGTAATGAGTGTGGGAAAACCTTTTGTGTGAAGTCAAATCTCACTAAACACCAGAAAATTCACACAGGAGAGAAACCCTATACATGTAATGAGTGTGGCAAATCTTTCTCTATGAATTCAATCCTTGTTGTACACCATCGGACCCACACAGGGGAGAAACCTTACAAATGCAACGAGTGTGAGAAATCCTTTTACAAAAAGTCAGCTCTTACTAAACATCAGAGAACTCACAGTGGGGAGAAACCACATGAATGTTCTGAATGTGGGAAGTCTTTTCATATGAAATCCACCCTCATTATACACCAGAGAACTCACACTGGAGAGAAACCTTACAAATGTAATGAATGTGAAAAGTCATTCTACGTGAAGTCTCATCTTAATATCCATCAGAGGAATCACACAGGAAAGAAACCCCATGTATGTGGTGAATGTGGGAAAGCCTTTACCATGAAGTCAAACCTCACCGATCATCAGAGGACGCACTCAGAGGAGAGACCTTACAAATGTAATGAGTGTCAGAAAGCCTTTCGCCACAAGTCAACCCTAACTGTACATAAGAGAACTCATACAGGGGAGAAACCTTACAAATGTAATGACTGTGGGAAATCCTTCTATATGAAGTCAGCCCTCAGTCAACATCAGAGAATACACACAGGCGAGAAGCCCTATGATTGTAAACAGTGTGGGAAAGCCTTCTTCCAGAAGTCACACCTCACTAAACACCATCGGACACACACAGGAGAGAAGCCCTATGAATGTAAGGAATGTGGGAAAACCTTCTTCCAGAAGTCACACCTCATTGAACACCAGCGAACACACACTGGGGAGAAACCCCATGAGTGCAATGAATGTGGGAAATCCTTCTGCTATAAGTCAGCCTTAACCATACATCAGAGAATTCACTCAGATGAAAAACCCTACAAATGTAGTGAATGTGACAAGTCTTTCTGTATGAAATCACACCTCACTGTACATCAGAGAACTCACTCAGGGAAACACCCCTTTGAATGTTATGAATGTGGAAAGGCTTTTTATGTGAAGTCAAACCTCATCAACCACCAGCGGACTCACACTGGGGAGAAGCCTTATATATGTAGTTCATGTGGGAAATCCTTCGGTATGAAGTCGGCCCTCACAGTTCATCAACAGGGACACACAGGGGAGAAGCCCTATGCATGTAATAAATGTGGGAAAGCCTTCTGCAAGAAGGCAGCTCTCACTAGTCATCAGGTGATTCACAGGAGAATGACACCCTGAATTGTAATAAATGTACCGCTTCCTCCTGTGTGGAGTCAGACTTTGTTGCACCAGGAGGTGACGTGAATGTAATCACGTGGCAGCCCTCATGTATAACTTCAGTCTTCAACACAAGGGAGATGGGATAGATGACTCTCTACAAAATGAATATGGGAAGACTTTGTGTCATGTCTTAACTACATGTCAGAGGACTCAAATGGGAGAGCGCCCTGAGACATCCTGTGTACATTAGTATCCACCAACATATCAAGTGCACATTGCAGAGAAGGCACGGGGAAAGGTGAACAGTGAGAGTGTAAAGCCATTTATGGTCACAGCTTACTGCACATCAGGTAACTGATATGGGTGTGAAATTGTGTGGGCATTTCATGTGCATGTAAGCTCCAAAATAATCAAACTAAATTGAAAAAGTAAATAGAATAACACTAAGGGAACATTATTAATTTAGGTGATGGGGCACTCCTGATGCTTCTAGAAATGTAATGCTGAAGTCATGTTTCAGACTTGATTCCAAATTTTGAAAATATGATGTGAGATGTGTCTAATCTTTGGATGATAAAGGTTTTTGAAAAAACACAAGTTGCTGCAGCAAGCTGTCACTTTAGTTATTTGAAGAGGACTTGAGGTGAGTAGGGCTTCTGAATGTGAGTAGGTAGCATGCTTATGTTGTGTACCTTTGGTTTTCATGGTGAAACTCAGTGCAGTTGCCAGTGAAAAATGTTGCCCCACAGCTTAATAACTGTTAGGACAGACTTCCCACACTGATGCCACCAATGCTTCTTTGTAGCTTAACAGTACAGTATTCATTGAGTGACATTTGACAAATTTGAGTACTGTACCACAGCATATTATTATACTGAGGAAAGCAAAATATAAGAAACTATATGTAGCATGTTATCTTTTATGTAAGAGTTGAGGGGACATGTGTATATATATGTATACCTTTTTATGAAGTTTTGACTTTTGAAAATGATTATTTATATATGCAAAAGGAAATAAAAGCAGGTTTTAAAATTGAAAATGAAGAGAATACTCAAGGTTATTTCACATTGGTAAATCAACCACACAGAAATTATCAGAGACTTTTGAACCCAGTATCATAACTATGCATCCTTAGTTGAAACATTTTTCAGGAACAAGAAGGGTCAAAGAAAATGGTAATGTCACTCATTAATTTCCATGTTAGTAATATTGATGCTATTTTTAACCTATTTTGTGTATATTTTAGGATGAAGCAAAAATTTCCAGTTTAAGAGGTGACAAGAATCAAATTCTTCAGGGAAAACTCCCCGTAGTGATAAATATGAGTTGGAAACTTAAAAAATTATTTCCACATCTGTTCATTGACAGGGCCTTTAAAAAGTGTTACCAGGGCTGGGGATGTGGCTCAAGCGGTAACGCGCTTGCCTGGCATGCGCGGGGCACTGGGTTCGATCCTCAGCACCACATAAAATAAGGATGTTGTGCCCACTGAAAATTGAAAGATAAATATTAAAAAAGAGTGTTACCAGTATAGTGATCAGTAGATTCTGTGCCTAGCATTGCCACCAAGGGAAAGGGAACTCTGTGGAGGAATAGCTGGTGATTTGGGGTCCTGAGGCATCCACAGTGAACCTAGGGCCTCCTGGGTAGGAAACCAAGGAAATGCTCAGATTGAAGGGCAATGAAAGAACACAGCAGCTAGTTTGGAGGGGCTCCAGTGGCCAAATTAGAAGTAATTTGGCGATCAAGAAGGATGACTGTAACTGATTGAACAGTTTTAATAAACAAAAATCTGAGACTGCAGTAATCTCCACACATAAGAAGGGCCAAAATAATCTATGAGCTAATACAGGCAGAAGGAATGGTAGAATTTTAGAACCTGCTTGGTAGCATCTCCTAGTGCATCTAGGTAAAGATCACAGAGCACATGGGTGTGAACACGGTTGCATCCTGTGACTCAGGGCTGGGTGGGTGGAGGCTGTGAGCTGATGGAAGACCTCACTCTGCTGGGCAGGGCTCAGTGAATCAGCTCTGCCACTGAGAGAATCCAAGCCTGTTGGAGTTAAGATTCTTTGGTTATTTGGAGCTATAAGACATCCTCACTTTGAAGAGGGATACCTTTTTAAAAATGTAATTCAGGTTCTGAACTCTAACTCAGTGGTAGAGGGTGTGCTTAGCAAGCATGAGGCCTGGGTTCAGTCTCCAGTTACCATTCCTCCAATTATGTAATTTACAAGAACACTCTGTGGCTGTCTGAGGAGAAAATTATTTCAGCATTTGTTTTCTGTTCTGTAAATGTCCATGTCATGAAGAGATATTATTTTTTTAAAAAAAAATATTGTTAGTTGTAGATGGATACAATACCTTTATTTATCTTTATGTGGTGCTGAGGATGGAACCCAGTGCCTCACATGTGCTAGGCAAGTGCTCTACCACTGAGCCACAACCCCAGCCCTGAGATATTATTTCTTGTTTGAAAGGAAGATAGTGCAGGGAATTTCCTTTGGGGACCTAGTTGTGTATAAGTATCCTTATTTCTCTTTATACAAAACAGTCCTTTAAAAAAACAAACACATTACTCATTGACCTTTTTCTGAGAGTCTCACTGTGCTGCCCAGGCTGGTCTCAAACTCCCAAACTCAGCCATCCTCCTGCCTCAGTCTTTCTAGTAGCTGGGTACAGTAGTTGTGTGCACCAGGCCCAGCTTCCTTTTTCCATTTTTAAAATAAACCGTGGTTTGATTTAAGGATCTGGTCTTTTCCCAATGAATTGCTAGTTGTCCTCATGCCATTTAATGATACTATCTTTATCTTGTACTAAGCTGCTGAGCCCCAGGGCTGGCCTGTGTGCCCTGGAGACCAGTCACCATCCCACCATGTCGTCCAGCTTGGTTTTTCAGGGAGAGCCAGTGTGGGTTCTCATGAGGGGTTTGTGATGAGAGGTCATTACAGAGCTGTATTTTCTTTGCTTTGACCCTGGAGTTGCATTGGCTTTCTCTTCAGTTGTGTGTGTGTGTGTGTGTGTGTGTGTGTGTATACTGGGGATGAAACCCAGGGTTGCCTTATTTTTTACTTTTGACAAGGTCTCTAAGTTGCAGAGGCTGGCCTCCAACTTAAGATCTTCCTGCCCCAGCCTGCTGAGTGGCTGGGATTGCAGGTGTATGCCACCACACCCTGCGGCCTGCAGTCTCGATGCATTTGTGTGACTGCTTGACTGATTTTTGTTCTTTTTTACTGGGATGATTCTTAATTATGCTCAAGAGGGCTGTGTTTTTATTGCCTCTGCTTTACAGTGGATTTGGACGTATTGAAGAGCAAATCCCTCTGCTCTATTTTTCAAGAATTACTTGACTTTTCCTCCATGGCCCTGGAGGTACAGAGGGCAGGAGTCAGGCAAGTGCCTCCTTCTTCTCTTCCCTCTTGGGTCCTGGAGCCCCATCCTTTCTCTCTGGATCATAATCTCAAACTTCCTGAGCAAATGGTCTCTCCCAACTGAGTGGCACCCTCCTCACTGAGGACCTGCTGAGGAGACCCAGGAGTCCCTGAAGCTGCTGAGCCACTTTGCTGAGTCACCTATGTGGGAGTATATCATGTTTCCCAAAAGAGGGTTCATCACACCCCCAAGGTCAAGCACCAGTGCTCAGCTAAGATCATAGGAATTCTTCAAGTCCTGGCCCACCTCCCAGCTCCACGTCACTACTCTTGTCATTTGTCCTAGGAACCAGGTAGGGTGCTGGGATCATGGTGAGAAAAGACAGGGGCTCTCTACCACTGAGCCACAATCCCAGAACCCACCAGCCCTTTTTTCCCATACTTTATTAAGAGACAGGATCTCACTAAGTTACTTAGGGCCTCACTAAGTTGCTGAGGCTGAGGTTGAACTCGTAAACCTCCTGCCTCAGCCTCCTGAGCCACTGTTGGTCACTGCATCCAGCTTCTTGTCTTTTTTATTATCATTATTCTTGTGGGTGTGAGGTGGTATCTCATAGAGACTTTAATTTGCATTTCCCTGATGACCAGTGATGTTGGATACTTATATTTGTTGCCCATTTTAATATCTTCTTTGAAGAAATGCCTGTTTAGGTCCTTTGCCTTCCATACCCCCTTTTAAGTGATTTTTTTTTAAAAAAATAACTTTATATTTTTTAATATGGTGCTTAGGATCCAACTCAATGCCTCATGCATGCTAGGCAAGTGCTCTTCCACTGAGCTACAACCCCAGCCCCTTTTGCCCATCTTTAAGTTGGGATTTTTTTTTCAGCTGTTGAGTTGTAAGGGTTCTTTATATATTTTGGATATTAATCCCTTATCAGACATGCCATTTGCAAATATCTTTTCCTAGTCTGTAAGTTGCCTTTTCATTTTGTTGATTGTTCCATTACTATGCAGAAGCTTTTTAGTCTGATACAGTCTCACATATTTTTAATGTTTACAGCATGAACTTTTGGAATATACATATATATAATTTTTTTTTTTTACCAATTTTGAGTTGGATTTTGTATATGGTGTGAGGTAAAGGTCCAGCTGAATTCTTTTCCATTTGGTCAGACACCCTTAGTTGATGATACTGTCCCTTTCCTATTGTGTCCTTTTGGTGCACTTCTTAAAAATTAGTTGACTACCTATGTGTGGGTTCATTTCTGGACTCTCTGTCCTGTTCATTGGTCTGTTTGGGTTTTTATGCCAGTACTATACTGCTTTAGCTATTACAACATTGTGATATCACTTAAAATCAGGAAGTATGATACCTGTTTTTCTTCCCAAGTATTGCTTTGCTATTAAGGTTGGTGTGTGTATGTGGTTCTATATAAATTTTTTTATATAGATTTTTTTTTTCTTTTGGGGAGAATACCATTGGCGTTTTGGTAGGGATTGTGTTAAATAGGTATATTGATTTGGTTATATGGAATATTAACAATAGCAATTATTCTGATCCACACAGAATATCTGATCCACACAGCCTTTTTGTGTCATCTTCAGTTTTGTTCATTGTTTTATAGTTTTTAGTGTAAAAACATTTTCCCCTTGGGGTGAAGTTTATTCCTAAGTATTTTTTTATGTTATCATAAACAAGATTGTTTTCTTGACATATTTTTAACTAGGCTGTGATCTGTATATAGAGGTACTATTGATCTTTTGTATATTGATTTTGTATCCTGCAACTTTATTGAATTCATTTATGAATTCTAACAGGACTTTTTGGGTACACTCTTTGGGGGATCATGTCATTTGCAAATAGAAATGATGTTACTTCTTCCTTTCTGACTTGGATGCCTTTTATTTCCTTTTTTTTTTTTTTTTTGTCTTATGTCTGAGCTCTTGTCATGTTCTGGTCTGAGATCCTGCCCAGCCACTGGCCACTGTGGAGACTTTGTATGAGATATTTCCATAAATTCCAGTGTACTGTCGCCACTCCAGTGGAGGAAAGACCTCTGAGTCTCCCTTAATCCCACACACCTCCTCCTGGCTACAGTCCCTTTCAAATTTTGGTGTTATCAAGGTCCAGTGTGTCCTACGTGGCGCTCTCAGCATGTATCCAAAGTTGTGCATATTTTTCTATCACTGGTAGTATTATTTTATACTTAATTTTCATCTTAAACTACGGCTTTGAGGCTTATTGATATTAAAATATCCAACTCCAGTTTATTATGTTTGTGTATTCATTAATGTGTAATAATTTGATTTTGATTCTCTTAAATGTTTGTCCCCTCAGAATTCATTTGTTGAAACCCTAATCTGCCTGTGCAAGTGTTAGGTTGGGCTTTTGGGAGGTGACTGAGTGGGATTGGTGCCCTTATAAAATAGACCAGAGAGAGCTCACTCCTCCCTGGCCCAAGGCAGTCAGGGTGTGTGCACAGTGCAGGTCCAAGGCTCCTGGGAGTCCTTGGGAATCCTCACGGCAAGGTGTCCCTAGTGAATAGGTAGAGCCTTTGGAAGGTGCTACAGATGGCAGCCAGCTCTCCTGAGGATGCTGCCCCCTTTCCAACAACATTGCTTTCAAACTGTGGGACATGG